CTGCATTAATTCATTTTTTCGTATTGCCTGGAAGTATTATGTGTCTTGATGACTCAGATGTGAGTCCTTCTTAAACTCTGTGCCTGAGGGAAGTACTCTCCCTTCTGCTAACCCAGGAAAGAGCTTTTGAATGAGTGTTGTGATCTTCAAGGGCTGAAAACCTAGGTAAGTCCCAATTCTTACCAGCATCACCCTCTGCCTCTTGCTTGCCTGTTTGTTTATGTTCTCCTGAGCCTCAAATAACACCCCCAGAGGTGGTCTGCCTCCGAGGGTGGAAGAGGGGACTATTGAGCTCATTGTTCCCACTCACAGAACAGCAGTGTTTTGTCAGGAGCCTTTCCTCAGAGCTGGTTCTCTGCAGAGTGGGCTCTGAGATTCCTCTGGTTCCTGCGCCAGACACTGATCTCGGTGTAACCTGTGCTGTCCAATTTCCTCGGCACCTTTTATTGAAGAGTCTGTCTTACTCTATTGTATGCTCTTGCCCCCTTAACAAATATTAACTTTGCATAATCGCATGGGTTTACTTCTGGGGTCTCTGTTCTGTTCCAATGATCTATATGCCTGTTCTTGTGCCAGTACCAGGCTGTTAAGATTACAGTGGCTTCGCCGTATCACTTGATATCTGGTGTTGTTATTCTTCCAAGTTTGTTCTTCTTCCTCAATATTGCTGCGGCTATTTGAGGTTTTATTTTGTTAATTATCCATTTTTGGAGTATTTCTTCTAGATCTGTGAAATATGCTGTTGGTATTTTAGTAGGGATTGCATTGAATCTATAGATTTCTTTGGGTAGTATGGACATTTTAATGATGTTAATTCTACGAATCCATAAACACTGTATGTTCTTCCACTTTGTTATACCTTCCTCTGTTTCTTTTGTTCAATAGTTTTCTAAGTGTAAGACTTTTATCTCCCTGGTTAAGTTTATTCCTAGGTTTCTTAAGTTTTTTGGACACTATGGTAAATTGGATTGTTTGTTTCGTTCTTCTTTCTGAGAATTGATTATTGGTATATAACGCCATAGAGCAAAGAAAACTTGTTCAATAAATGGTCTGGGATGATTGGAAAGCCACATGCAAAAGAATGGGACTGGGTTTCAGTTTGTCCCCATGAATAAAACTTAACTGAAAAGGGATTAAATACATAAATAGAAGATCTGAAAAAATAAAATCAATAGAAGAAAGCATAGTTACCTAATGTATAGGCCTTGGCTGTCGAGAACATTTTATGAACTTGACTCCAAAGGCAAGTGAAGTGAAGACAAAAATAAATGAATGGGACTATATCAAACAACAAGCTTCTGAAAAACAAAAGAATCTGACAACCAAAGAGGCAACATAGGAACTGGAGATAATATTTGCAAACAATAGCTCCAACAAAGGTTTAATATGCAAACTATATAAAGAACTCATAAAACTCAACACTAAACAAACTACCCAACTAGAACATGGGCAGTGAACCAGAATAGAAGTCTCTCCCAAGAAGACATACAAACATCCAGCAGATATATGAAAAGATGTTCAATGTCACTAGCAATTTGGGAAACGCAAATCAAAACTACAAGACACCAGGTCACATCAGTTAGAATGGCTATTACCAATAAGACAAGTAATAACAAGTGTTGGAGAAGTTGTGAGTAAGGGGAACCCTCATTCATTGGGAATATTGGTGCAGCCACTATGGATAACAGTCCGGCGATTTCCCCACAAAATGAAGACTAGAGCTACCTGCCATATGAGCCAGCAATCCCTCTCTTGTGTATATACCTGAAAACACTCAAAAACATGATTCACAAAGAGATATGCACCCCTCTGTTCATTGCAGCATTATTCACTGTGGCCAACACATGGAGACCACCAAGGTGTCCTTTAATAGAGAATTGGTGAAAGAAGACGTGGAGCATAGACACCATGGAATACTAATAAGAAAAGATGAAATACTGAAATTTGGGACAACCTGGCTGGATCCTGAGAATATTATGCTACATGAAATAAGTGACGCAGAAAAAGCTGAGCACCATGTGATCTCATATGTGGGATGTCAAACTAAACTCATGGACACAAACAGTAGTGTGGTGGTTGCCAGAGGGGAGTGTGCGGGAGGGTGGGGAGTGAAGGGGGATTTATAGTGACAGAAGAGGATTTGACTTTGGGTGGTGGGCATACAGTACAATATACAGATCTTGTAACAAATCCACACCTGAACCTATATGACCCTATGAGCCAGTGTCTCCCCAAGACATTTTTTAAACAAAAGAAAGAGAAAAATAAATAAATAAACCCTTAAATCACTCACGGGGTGTTGCAGAGAATGTTCCCACGTGGCTTTATGTCAGGTAGAAATGACAAAACCCAATTCATACAGAGTATCTGGGGTTATAGAGATACAGGGTTAGAACTCCACTAGGCGCTACAGTATTTTATCTTAGATCCTTGTGATGATTCATTTTATGTTTCAATTGGATTGGATTATGAGCTGCCCAGCTACTTGGTCGAACTTTCTGAATGTGTCTGTGAGGGTGTTTTGGTCTGACATAGACAATTAAGTAGATGGACTGAGAAAAGCTATTGTTGTCCCTAATATGAATCCACCTCACCTACCATTTGAAGGCCTTGAATAGAACATAATGGCTGACCTTGTAATAAGAAAACAATAATTTAGCTAAATTCAATGTAACAAAACTTATAGCAAAAGGGAGGATGAAGGGCACAGTAGGAGTAGAGAGAGAGCACAAGCTGTTTCCATGGCTGGGGGATGAAGGAGAGTAACTTCTGTCCCATGGCCAACCTTCAGCTCTGCAGAATGAGCCACATGATTATTGTTTCATTTTTTCCCAGATGTAATCAGTTGGGAACAAGGAATGGCAATCATACCAATCAACTCACAAAAGACTCACTTTAAGAACACCCAATTCCTAATACTACCTAGAAAAATAATGGATGTTACTCATTTTCAATGTGCATTTCATATGATTAGTGAATCCATTCAGCACCTTGTGTCATCTACTAGGAAATATCATTACTGCTCAAGATGACATAGAGGTGGGCTATGTCTCTCAGTGGTCAGTGTTGACCCACCCGTGGAAAGGTCAAGAGTTTGCTTCCAGCTGAAGGGCATGTACCTAGGTTGCAAGTTCAGTCATGGCCTAGTCAGCTGCAAGCAGAACCCAATCAATATATGTCTCTCACATTGATATTGTTCTCTGTCTCCCTTCCTTTGTCTCTGAAAACCACCTTAAATAATAAATATAAGAATGACATTACTGAGCACCTCCTAAGGTCTAGGCACTCTTCTAAGCATATTAATTCATAGTTCATTCCTTTGAACACTTCTTTGAATACATGCATGTATAAAACAGGTGTTTCTCAAGCACCTTCATGTGCCAGTCTGTTCTTCTAACTTTAGTACATGAGTTAACAAATTGGCAGATGTGGTTCCTTTCATTATTCCCTTTTTATGAAGAAGAAGACAAGGCCACAGGGAGATTAGCTTTCCCAAGTTCATAGCAATCCTTGAGAATCAAGGACAGTGATGGCGAACCTATGACACATGTGTCAGAGGTAACACGTGAACTCATTTTTTTGGTTGATTTTTCTTTGTTAAATGGCATTTAAATATATAAAATAAATATCAAAAATATAAGTCTTTGTTTTACTATGGTTGCAACTATCAAAAACTTTCTATATGTGACATGGCACCAGAGTTAAGTTAGGGTTTTTCAAAATGCTGACACGCCGAGCTCAAAAGGTTCGCCATCCCTGATCTAGGAGTTCTGACTCCGTAGTCTAAGCTCTTAACATTCTAGGAGTTTCCCTCTTCCCAGGAACAACGAGGCTGCTGAGCATCGGAGCATCCTTTCTCCAGGACAGTCCGTGTGATGGTTAATTTTATGTGTCAACTTGGCTCGGTCAACCACCAGCCACCCTGAATTTCACCTTAAAATGTACCTGGAGGTAGAGAAGCATAAATGCAGCAGCCCAGACGCTCACAGTTTAACCCAGCAGAACTCCAAAATGGCCGAACAACCTCTTTGTAACTTAAAGTTAACACAGTTGACTTCCATTAAATCTGCAAACAAGTAGCAAGGATCATACCATTGGAAAGGTGACAGGCAATCAAAGGAAAAGTCGAGAATTGCCAGGTTTTTCTCCTTCTGCTAAACTGGTCCATGAAGTAGAGTAATATCGGACAGAAAGATTAAGGATAAAGATATGTTAAAATAGTACCCACAATTTATTTAAAAGCAAACTGAAGCATTGGCTAGATCATCTGAGGCACAGATTCAAGAAATCCTCCCACATTGATCTCCCTGCCTGCTCTCTGAGATAGTCACACAACATGCACACGCAGTTATGTGATTTTGGCTGATTCCTTTCACTTCCGCATCGATGTCATCACTGTAACATTGGCATTTGCTCAGGGCCCAGAAGCACACATCAGCGCCCTCCTAGAGACAGAAGTGTCTACAACAGTTTTGAAGAACGTAGAGCAGCCACTCAATATTTGCTCCCTCCCTTTGGCTTTTCTTCTGTTTAGAAACCTTGAAGTGGAAACCACAACAGAACTAGAGGCAGTGAGGGCGAGGAGGGAAGGGAATGAATACATCCAGTACAGCAGGACTGGGGAGACTGGTAGGAAGAGGACCAGATGCCAGTATCAGCCAACCAATACCGTATATCTTTTCTTCTTCACTCTACTGGACTCCTCCCAGATAGTTCCACCCTCTCCTTGCTGACGGAATAGAAATCGGTTACAATTCTGACATTATCCCTGAACATCTTCCAAATTTGCCAGGACTCTTCTCAATCCCATGGGTTGCCAGCTTTGGACAGGCACTTTCTGAGAAGTGGAGGAACTGTTCTAAAGGACTTAATAAAAGAGGACTATTTTGAGATCAAAAAAATAAGGACTTAGGTTTCAGATTTAAAAAACTCAAGAAGTTTTCTTTGATAAGAATTGAATAAAACAAAATGCAAATTTCATAACAAAAGTTACAAGTTTTGTAAATTTTAATACAAGATAAGAGCAAATATTGGTTATATAAATACAGAAATATAAGATGAAAGAATGAATAAATAAATAAATAAATAAATAAACAAATAACAATAAATCACCATTCAGGCAGTAAGCTATCAGGGACCGTTGACCCAGGAACTGAATTTTCTAACATTTTCTCACTTAATACTCTGACAACAGATTTCCTGAGTAAAATTCAATAAATTCTGTGACTAGAGCAGATGTGAGAGCCTTTGGACATGACCGAGGACAGATGTGCAAACGTGATGTGGCACATTCATCCCTGAGAATCCTTTCAGGGGGATCCCACGTCTCCATCCTTATTTCTTAGCCTTTCTTGCAAGGCTGTTATTGAGGGGAAGGATCTCATGATTTCCCCTCTGACAACCTCCCAGGCGCAGTCACTGTATTTCTTCTCCTTCAGGTAGAGATGGATGCCCTCGAAGTACCTCTTCAAGGCCGGGGGAGGGCCCTGCATGGCCAGGGCAGATCCTTCCTCTCCCATCTCCTCCACCAAACACGCCTCCAGGGCTTCCAGCTGCAGATGGAGTCCTGAACGCAGTTCGCCCACGAGGGTTGTGTTCCAGGTGACAGAGGAGTTCTCTGTGGGCAAGAGGTTGAAGACCTGCTGGAGCATCTCGTGGAGGACAGCGATGGCCTGGGCCTTCTGGACCTGGCTGCCATCCACCGTTGCGTGGGGGAATCTGAAGTCCTTTCTGTCCTTCACACAGAAGACAGGGGAGATTGTGCTCATTTGGTTCAGAAGGTCTAAGTTCTTTCTGCTGAGCAGGACGTGGTCCTGAGGCAGGTCACAGCCCAGAGCTCCCCCGGGGCCAGCACTGAACACCACCAGGGCGGTGAGTAGAGAGAGCAGGAGGGCCATGGGCGAACGAGGGTGCTGCTGGCCTGGCTGAGCTGGGCGTCTGGAGAACAACCTTGGGCCAAAAGTTGTGCAATGACCTTCTTTCTAAGCATGGCCCTTAAATAGGGAACACAACGGTTTTCATTTTCTAAACATTTCTTTCCACTTTCCCTTCCTTTTATTGTTTTCTTTTAGGTGGTCTAAGGAGATGTCATCAATCTGTAATATTAATTTTCTATTTTAAATTCCCAATAAACTTTAGATGTTTCAGTCCATGAGGATACTTAGTCAAATGAAAAGGTCTTTGTCCTAAAGTCAGAGTTTAGGTAGGTGTGTAAATACTTACACACATGCACATACATATGTGTTTATTGCATAAATATTGCTCTTCTCTGCTTTAGAAACAGAATTGCGCCGTGACTCTGGGCAACCTTGTGCCCTGCTTACTTCGCACAGGGAGCCAGGCTCCCTCATCCCTGTGGGCTTGTGTAATTTGTCAGGTACTTACCAGACTCAGGTGGTAAATAATCTCTTTAGAACCAAGGACTGAGTGTAATTTACTGTGGTGTTCACTGCAGAGGCTGAGGGTATTAGTGACTGTGTTTCAGGGATGTTTCTCTTCTAGATCCCATTCCTGCAGGGCCCTGTGGTTCTGCTTCATGGGGGCCACTAGGTCAGGACTCTCGACATTGCCATTTCCTTCCAGCATTTGTAACTGGTTGTTAGTGCTCCTCAGGCTGTGCCAATACCCCCGGCAGGAATCCAGGTTCTTTGCTGGTGGCTGTAGGTGTGGAGATTCTTATAAGAAGATAGTAATATGTTCCCAGCACCACCCCATTCACGAGGCTGATATCAGCTCTAGTCACCCTTTGCCTCTGGAGTGACAGTGTCCTCAACCCAGGCGCTCCGGACTGCCCCCCTGAGGGCAGGCTCACCCCATCCTGGGGTCCTTAGAATTCTCCCCAGGTGGAGGGGCTTGTGTCTTTGTGGCAAAATAAGCACCAGGGTCCTCCTGCTCCCCCGGGAAGGTTTGTGTGAAGGACCCTTGTTCTCTGTGGTGACCGGCTCCTCTCCTGAGCCAGCACCCAGGTGTCAGTGGTGTCCCAAGCCCTCAGAGCTGACAGCAAACGTTTATTTTGTCTAAGTCGATGGGGAATTAGGTATCCATTTGCAATCATTGATCATCAGATGGCCAATAATTTTTATTTGGCAAGTGCAGCTTCTATTATTAAATTCTCTATTTAAGTTATTGAACACATTATGCTCAGGATTTCTCAGCTGGGCACGAGAGTTTCAATGACGTCTCTCAATAGAAACTTATAGAACAGAAGCTGGTGAACTGCAGCTGTTCATTCAGTCTGTGCGTTTCTCTTGAGCTTCTCTGTTCAGTCCTCTCCGTCTCATGCTCAGGGTGCAGGGCAGTGAGGCTCAGGCTACTAAGTCAGGGAGGAACAGCCTTCATTCCTTAATTATTCATGATGCTTCATTGTCAATGTAAATAACAACATCGTCATTACATAGTGTTTTACTGGGCATAGTCTGTGTTGCTCCTCTGCCATGATTTTCTACTTCATCCTGAGGTTCATATAAAGGGAAGTAAGAAAGTCAAAGGGACTTCACCATTTTTCTTTATAATTATCACGACTTCAGACTTTTTATTTCTCATTTCAACCTTCCCAGAAAGCAAAATTGACAGCTGTTTGTGGGCACAAATGAAACAAATAGAATTCTGCATGTCATACAAGTGAAAGAAGGGGAGTGGCTTCTGCTGACAAGAGGACCAAGTGTCAGTTGGCAGAATTGACTGCAGCCACACAGGGCCCTGGTGCTGTGGCAGAGGGAGGGGGAAGCCAGCCCTGAGCTCCTCCAAGGCAGGGGTGGGCTGCCTCTGCCAGAGGCTCAAACAGGAGGACCTTCTGGGTCAGGGACCAGCCACGTCCTTTCCTGTCATTTCATCCACATGCGATCAGCTCTGAGGACAGAAGGGAAGACTCACAGCCACCACCTCTCAACAGCCTGAGACCTGCACCCCCACTGCTGGACCAGGAACCCTCCGTGGCTGCATCATGGACATTAACCGTGGTCTGGGTGCTCGATGTAGTTAATAAATCCACTCAGCTACGGAGAAGATGGCCTTGAGAAATCTGGACTTGAGAGCAATGGAATTGGATGCTCCTAAAAGAGTGTGCTCTTAATTTAAATAATTATATTGCTATTTTACAGTAAATGATAAAATTTTATTGCATGCTCACTATGGTCTAACTACTGTTCTAAAATCTTTGAAATGGCTCATTGAACCTTCTCAATGTCCCTATTTCCAATAAACTTTTTTATACCACTATCATGCAGTATCAATCTGGAGCGATGAATTATTTGGAAGGTACCACGAATCCAAGGTCAAACGCTTAAGGAGCTTGAGATAACCGTTTGTCTGGAAGGGCCCGTTTACAGATGACAAGGATAGTAAAGGACATGGGATTTATGCACCAAGGAGAGGCTGCAGCATGAGAGCACTGAGCAGGGAGGGTGGGGTGGTATCGGATTCCAAGTTCTACTTCATGTCCCAGTGGATTGCTGTCTGTTGTTCTGTATGACATCACCAGTGTGGTCCCTGTCCATACAACTGACTGACATTAAGTTCTAAGGAAAAGTAGACAACAATCTTTTTAGATAGTTTTTATATAGTTGACTTTTCTGACAATTGAAACAAGTTTGTCGCTGGCACTGGAGTAACCGTGGTGCCTCCAATTCCCAGTAGGCTGCTGTGGGGGGGTTCCCTGTGCTGGGGACACTGCTGTTGGCCACGTCTCTGTGGGAGAGCTCTGCTCTCAGCATCCACTTCCATCTTCTCCCTCTGAACCAGAAGGATCTGCAGAAACAGGTGCCTCAGTTCGAGCCCTTCCCAGTGTTCCCCTCCTGAGGACCTGCCTGTTCCAGTCCAGGCTTTACCTGTCTCTGTTCTGCCCAGTTCTCCAGCCCCTGCTGACTTTCATCTCCTTCCTGTTCCTAGGTGTGCTCTGTCTCCTGTTCCATGTTCACCAACCAGATCAGAGGCTACTTCTCAACTCTTTGCACTCAGTGCATCACCCAGATCGGTTCAGACCAGCTGCTGGGAGCATAGGTGATAGTGCCCAGTACATTCCTGTCCTTGAAAACACCCCCTGTGATCTACCCTAATTTCTCTCTGTACCACTGGGTAGAATAGAATCAAGTTCCCAGAAAAATTTGTTGGCACACGTTGAGTTGGCCAAGTTTCCAAATAGAAGGTGCCCATGACCTACAATCCTTGTTTCCACATGAGCCAAGCTTAAGAGTCCTCTGATCAGAAATGCTTGCATTGTGCTCTTCCACAAACACAAAATAAAGTTCTATAACGATCCAGGTCTGGATAGTTTTCTGTTGATCAGTTACAAGAGCCAGCGGGAACCTAACTGGCCAATGTCTTTAATCAAACATTATCCTGAAGAATCTTTTCATTAAAAAAAATGGAGGGTGTGTGGGTGATGCCTGGGTGCCCGCCAACTGAGGAGATGGATGAGGACGGGCTTCCTCTCATGGGGTCGGGCATTGACCTGACCAAGGTGCCAGCTATTCAACAGAAAAGAACGGTGGCATTTCTAACCCAGTTTGTGGTGCACACTGTGCAGTTCCTCAACCGCTTCTCCACAGTCTGTGAGGAGAAGCTGCAGACCTTTCTCTTCGTATCCAGCGAATTGAAACAACTCCCAATATTTTAGATGCAATTTGTCACCTATCCCAGGCCTAGATGATGTCACAGTTGAAGTCTCCCCTGTAAGTGTCACTGGAGTCACAAATGTAACCACTTCAGAGCCATCACAGCAGAACAGTTTAGAAGAATCTGGACCACAGGAAAGTGAAGTAACAGCACAAAATATCTTAACTAGCCAAGGATCCGAGATATGCCAGATATCTCAGAATGGTTCCAGTGGGTGTCCCAGTGATGGCAATAAGAAACAAAAGGATATCAGAAGGACTAGACCCAGATCTTCTCGAGAGGCCAGATGCTCCAGTGCCTGATGGCGAAGGTGAAAAAAATGCAGAAGAAAGTTCAGATAGTGCATCCTCTTTTAGTGACTAAGATTAACTGTCATAATAGTTACAGATAACATGTGTCGATGTACTTTACGTCCTATCAGAAAGAGAGTCTGAACTTGACCTCTTTTTCAAAACAACATCAAGTGACCAGATATTCACCACCAAGCTTCCTCAGTGCTAAAATTGTAATAATAATGAAGCATTTATAACCTGGAAACAAATGAAATTTATAGTTTGGAAAGAGCAAATAGCCCCAATCCCCTCCACCACCACTGTCCCAAAAAATTAAACAGTAAAAAAAATTATGTTATAAAATAGTTTATTTATGAAAGATCATGTACCTCTCTCTAAACATCATTTTGTAAATTCCTGATGTACACTATATTTTTAAAATAACCGCTTGAGTTTGGTGTCAGGTATTTCTCAGCTGGTGCAGAAATGTGAGTGGAGATTGTTTTAGGGCTTAGCAAACACTGCAATTGAAGAGAGTGAGAGTCAGCATATAAATTCATTCTGAATTAGTTGCCTTTCCTTTGAGGATTGTTACATGATTCCAACGCGTATTGTAATTTCCACTCTCACGACCTCCCAGGCACAGGAGCTGTATTTCTTCTCCTTCAGGTAGCTATGGATTCTTTGGAAGTACTTCCGGACGAGAATTCCCACATTGGGACAAGCCCGGATTTCTCCTTCCCTCTGCTCCAGGTGCTCCAGGCTGTGGTGAAGGCTGGACAGTAGTTGAGACAGGAGGGTGTGGTCCCATGCAGCCAGGCTGCGCTGTGCTCTGAAGAGGTTGAAGATCTGCAGGAGCATCAGATGGTGGAAACAGGTGCGTTGTGTCTTCTTCATTTGGGTGATTGTATCTAAATTCCAAGGGAATTTGAAGTCGTTTCTGTCAGCCAGGCAAAAGTAAGGGGGGGTCTTTTGCAGTTGAGACAAAAGAGTTAAGACGCTCCCTTTGTCTCCTGTATGGACCCAATGTTTGTCCTCTTCTAGAGAACCAGCAGGGATGGAGCAGAGCATCACCCCTGCTAGCAGCCACAGAGAGATCTGGGCCATTGCGAGTTCCAGTGATTCAGGGGACGACCGCCAGGGGGAGGCGCGGGCACAATTAGCAGCCGCTTTCCTTCCTGGGATTCCTGGAAAGCGCGCTTCTCCCGGTGGCCGCCAGAGGGCGCGCAGCAGGTCTTAAGTGAAGCTGCTTTTGGGGAAAGTGCAGTCAGGCTGGTCTGAGAGAGGAAGCACTGGCCGGCCCCGCAGAGCGCCTGGTGCTGCTTTAATAGTGAAGGTGAAACCCTCCATTCTCGCGCAGCAGCCGCCACTGAAGAAGGAGCTCTGCCTGCGCCTCCCGAGGACATTGTTCTCAGGAAACCAGCACCGGCCTGGGCCTTCTCTGCGCTTCCCCAGGAGTGTGGGGCTTTCCTTTTGCAAGGAAGCTCCAGCGAGGACACTTCCACCGGGAATCCCTGTGCTGGGGGGTCAGAGGCTGGAAGGAGAGCGTGTTGGGGGGTTAGCACAGAATCGGGGCGCTTTGTGCGCTGGATGTCCACAGACTCAGAGCCGGACGCGGGAAGGACTGGCGCGACTGCTCCCCGCTGGGGACGCTGTGGGTGAGTGGGGGGCCCGGCCCGGGAGGGGCGGCTCTGCAGGAGCTTTGGGGCTTTTGTGCGATGTCTCAATGTGACAGCCTTAGGGAGCCATGGGGTAAAGTTAAAAAACACTGGAAAGTGCGAGCATTGACACGGCTCTTCCTGAAGCTACTCAAAATATTAAAGTACTTTAATATTAAATATAAATATGAAGCCTAATGTTTAAGAAAATTTTATATCCAAGCACCAGTTAAACTTTTAAAATAGTTTAGTATGAAATAAATATCGCTGTAAATTTTAAATATATTTTAAACGTGGAAACTATTAACACATTCTCTTAAACTTTAAAAATATTTAAATATTGATTTAAATATCCACATAATATTTAAAATATTTTAATCTTAAGACATCATTCTATTAGGATTATTAAAATACTTATATATCGAATATTAACTATTAACTGAAAATTTTCAATGTTTTAATTTTTACCATTCAGACTATAAAAACTCCATGTATGAAACTTCCAGTTTATTTCAACTGTATTTTATTTGTACCCAAACAAGGATTTGATATAATTTTATTGCCTTGGCTGGAATGGAAGCAAACACTGTTTAGTATTGTCAGGATGACTTGTGTTCAGCCTGGCCTGCCTGGCTCAGCACTGGAGCTTCTGCCTATGAAACCAGGAAGTCCTGGTTTCATTTCTGGTCTGGGCACAGGTCCTGGTTGCAAGCTAGCTCCCGGGTGGGGCTTGCAGGAGGCAGCAGATCAATGATTCTCTCTCATCATGGATGTTTCTATCTGTCTCTCCCTTTACCTTCTGTTCAGAAATCAATGAAAGTATTTTATTTAAGATATTATTTTTTATAAAAGGGATTACTTGTTTTTGTTGAGTTTCTTGTAACCACGTGACAATGGTGAATCATTTTTCTTTAATTTCACTTTACTGAAATGTCCTCACAGGTTTGCACCTTGAATGAATCGTTAAAAGGAAAACTTGGTGCTGTGTACAGGCTGCAGAGAACAGTTAGCAGGTCAGATCTTTTCCTTTTCTTTGGTTAGAATTTTGTAGACTGAATGGAACTTGCTAAAATTATATTTGCACCGTTTCCCCTCCCTTCTTAAGCCTCTGAGGACTTGCAAGTGGAAGGCCATTTCATGTCTCTAAAATGTTGACATTTTGTTCACCATGGATGTGCTGCATTAATTCATTTTTTCGTATTGCCTGGAAGTGTTATGTGTCTTGATGACTCAGATGTGAGTCCTTCTTAAACTCTGTGCCTGAGGGAAGTACTCTCCCTTCTGCTAACCCAGGAAAGAGCTTTTGAATGAGTGTTGTGATCTTCAAGGGCTGAAAACCTAGGTAAGTCCCAATTCTTACCAGCATCACCCTCTGCCTCTTGCTTGCCTGTTTGTTTATGTCTTCCTGAGCCTCAAATAGCACCCCCAGAGGTGGTCTGCCTCTGAGGGTGAAAGAGGGGACTATTGAGCTCATTATTCCCACTCACAGAACAGCAGTGTTTTGTCAGGAGCCTTTCCTCAGAGCTGGTCCTCTGCAGAGTGGGCTCTGAGATTCCTCTGGTTCCTGCGCCAGACACTGATCTCGGTGTAACCTGTGCTGTCCAATTTCCCCAGCACCGTTTATTGAAGAGTCTGTCTTACTCTATTGTATGCTCTTGCCCCCTTAACAAATATTAACTTTGCATAATCGCATGGGTTTACTTCTGGGGTCTCTGTTCTGTTCCAATGATCTATATGCCTGTTCTTGTGCCAGTACCAGGCTGTTAAGATTACAGTGGCTTCGCCGTATCACTTGATATCTGGTGTTGTTATTCTTCCAAGTTTGTTCTTCTTCCTCAATATTGCTGCGGCTATTTGAGGTTTTATTTTGTTAATTATCCATTTTTGGAGTATTTCTTCTAGATCTGTGAAATATGCTGTTGGTATTTTAGTAGGGATTGCATTGAATCTATAGATTTCTTTGGGTAGTAGGGACATTTTAATGATGTTAATTCTACGAATCCATAAACACTGTATGTTCTTCCACTTTTTTATACCTTCCTCTGTTTCTTTTGTTTAATAGTTTTCTAAGTGTAAGACTTTTATCTCCCTGGTTAAGTTTATTCCTAGGTTTCTTAAGTTTTTTGGCACTATGGTAAATTGGATTGTTTGTTTCGTTCTTCTTTCTGAGAATTGATTATTGGTATATAACGCCATAGAGCAAAGAAAACTTGTTCAATAAATGGTCTGAGATGATTGCAAAGCCACATGCAAAAGAATGGGACTGGGTTTCAGTTTGTCCCCATGAATAAAACTTAACTGAAAAGGGATTAAATACATAAATAGAAGATCTGAAAAAATAAAATCAATAGAAGAAAGCGTAGGTACTAAATGTATAGGCCTTGGCTGTAGAGAACATTTTATGAACTTGACTCCAAAGGCAAGTGAAGTGAAGACAAAAATAAATGAATGGGACTATATCAAACTAACAAGCTTCTGAAAAACAAAAGAATCTGACAACCAAACAAAGAGGCAACATAGGAACTGGAGATAATATTTGCAAACAATAGCTCCAACAAAGCTTTAATATGCAAACTATATAAAGAACTCATAAAACTCAACACTAAACAAACTACCCAACTAGAACATGGGCAGAGAACCTGACCTGAATAGACGTCTCTCCCAAGAAGACATAAAAACATCCAACAGATACATGAAAAGATGTTCAATGTCACTAGCAATTTGGGAAACGCAAATCAAAACTACAAGACACCAGGTCACATCAGTTAGAATGGCTATTACCAATAAGACAAGTAATAACAAGTGTTGGAGAAGTTGTGAGTAAGGGGAACCCTCATTCATTGGGAATATTGGTGCAGCCACTATGGAAAACAGTCCGGCGATTTCCCCACAAAATGAAGACTAGAGCTACCTGCCATATGAGCCAGCAATCCCTCTCTTGTGTATATACCTGAAAACACTCAAAAACATGATTCACAAAGAGATATGCACCCCTCTGTTCATTGCAGCATTATTCACTGTGGCCAACGCATGGAGACCACCAAGGTGTCCTTCAATAGAGAATTGGTGAAAGAAGACGTGGAACATAGACACCATGGAATACTAATAAGAAAAGATGAAATACTGAAATTTGGGACAACCTGGCTGGATCCTGAGAATATTATGCTACATGAAATAAGTGACGCAGAAAAAGCTGAGCACCATGTGATCTCATATGTGGGATGTCAAACTAAACTCATGGACACAAACAGTAGTGTGGTGGTTGCGAGAGGGGAGTGTGCGGGAGGGTGGGGAGTGAAGGGGGACTTATAGTGACAGAAGAGGATTTGACTTTGGCGGGTGTGCGTACAGTACAATATACATATCTTGTAACAAATCCACACCTGATCCTATATGACCCTATGAATCAGTGTCTCCCCAAGACATTTTTTAAACAAAAGAAAGAGAAAAATAAATAAATAAACCCTTAAATCACTCTCGGGGTATTGCAGAGAATGTTCCCACGTGGCTTTATGTCAGGTAGAAATGACAAAACCCAATTTATACGGAGTATCTGGGGTTATAGAGATACAGGGTTAGAACTCCATTAGGCGCTACAGTATTTTATCTTAGATCCTTGTGATGATTAATTTTATGTTTCAATTGGATTGGATTATGAGCTGCCCAGCTATTTGGTCGAACTTTCTGAATGTGTCTGTGAGGGTGTTTTGGTCTGACATAGACAATTAAGTAGATGGACTGAGAAAAGCTATTGTTGTCCCTAATATGAATCCACCTCACCTACCATTTGAAGGCCTTGAATAGAACATAATGACTGACCTTGTAATAAGAAAACAATAATTTAGCTAAATTCAATGTAACAAAACTTATAGCAAAAGGGAGGATGAAGGGCACAGTAGGAGTAGAGAGAGAGCACAAGCTGTTTCCCTGGCTGGGGGATGAAGGAGAGTAACTTCTGTCCCACAGCCAACCTTCAGCTTTGCAAAATGAGCCACATGATTATTGTTTCATTTTTTCCCAGATGTAATCAGTTGGGAACAAGGAATGGCAATCATACCAATCAACTCACAAAAGACTCACTTTAAGAACACCCAATTCCTAATACTACCTAGAAAAATAATGGATGTTACTCATTTTCAATGTGCATTTCATATGATTAGTGAATCCATTCAGCACCTTGTGTCATCTACTAGGAAATATCATTACTGCTCAAGATGACATAGAGGTGGGCGATGTCTCTCAGTGGTCAGTGTTGACCCACCCGTGGAAAGGTCAAGAGTTTGCTTCCAGCTGAAGGGCATGTACCTAGGTTGCAAGTTCAGTCCCGACCTAGTCAGCTGCAAGCAGAACCCAATCAATATATGTCTCTCTCACATTGATATTGTTCTCTGTCTCCCTTCCTTTGTCTCTGAAAACCACCTTAAATAATAAATATAAGAATGACATTACTGAGCACCTCCTAAGGTCTAGGCACTATTCTAAGCATATTAATTCATAGTTCATTCCTTTGAACACTTCTTTGAAAACATGCATGTATAAAACAGGTGTTTCTCAAGCACCTTCATGTGCCAGTCTGTTCTTCTAACTTTAGTACATGAGTTAACAAATTGGCAGATGTGGTTCCTTTCATTATTCCCTTTTTATGAAGAAGAAGACAAAGCTACAGGGAGATTAGCTTTCCCAAGTTCATAGCAATCCTTGAGAATCAAGGACAGTGATGGCGAACCTATGACATGCGCGTCAGAGGTGACACGTGAACTCATTTTTTTGTTGATTTTTCTTTGTTAAATGGCATTCAAATATATAAAATAAATATCAAAAATATAAGTCTTTGTTTTACTATGGTTGCAAATATCAAAAACTTTCTATCTGTGACAGGGCACCAGAGTTAAGTTAGGGTTTTTCAAAATGCTGACACGCCGAGCTCAAAAGGTTCGCCATCCCTGATCTAGGAGTTCTGACTCCGTAGTCTAAGCTCTTAACATTCTAGGAGTTTCCCTCTTCCCAGGAACAAAGAGGCTGCTGAGCATCGGAGCATCCTTTCTCCAGGACAGTCCGTGTGATGGTTAATTTTATGTGTCAACTTGGCTCGGTCAACCACCGGCCACCCTGAATTTCACCTTAAAATGTACCTGGAGGTAGAGAAGCATAAATGCAGCAGCCCAGATGCTCACAGTTTAACCCAGCAGAACTCCAAAATGGCCGAATAACCTCTTTGTAACTTAAAGGTAACACAGTTGACTTCCATTAAATCTGCAAACCAAGTAGCAGGGATCATACCATTGGAAAGGTGACAGGCAATCAAAGGAAAAAGTCCAGAATTGCCAGGTTTTTCTCCTTCTGCTAAACTGGTCCATGAAGTAGAGTAATATCGGACAGAAAGATTAAGGATAAAGATATGTTAACATAGTACCCACAATTTATTTAAAAGCAAACTGAAGCATTGGCTAGATCATCTGAGGCACAGATTCAAGAAATCCTCCCACATTGATCTCCCTGCCTGCTCTCTGAGACAGTCACACAACACGCACACGCAGTTATGTGATTTTGGCTAATTCCTTTCACTTCAGCATCGATGTCATCACTGTAACATTGGCATTTGCTCAGGGCCCAGAAGCACACATCAGCGCCCTCCTAGAGACAGAAGTGTTTACAACAGTTTTGAAGAATGTAGAGCAGCCACTCAATATTTGCTCCCTCCCTTTGGCTTTTCTTCTGTTTAGAAACCTTGAAGCGGAAACCACAACAGAACTAGAGGCAGTGAGGGCGAGGAGGGAAGGGAATGAATACATCCAGTACAGCAGGACTGGGGAGACTGGTAGGAAGAGGACCAGATGCCAGTATCAGCCAACCAATACCGTATATCTTTTCTTCTTCCCTCTACAGGACTCCTCCCAGATAGTTCCACCCTCTCCTTGCTGACGGACTAGAAATCGGTTACAATTCTGACATTATCCCTGAACATCTTCCAAGTTTGCCAGGACTCTTCTCAATCCCATGGGTTGCCAGCTTTGGACAGGCACTTTCTGAGAAGTGGAGGAACTGTTCTAAAGGACTTAATAAAAGGGTACTATTTTGAGATAGATCAAAAAAATAAGGATTTAGGTTTTCTGATTTAAAAAACTCAAGAAGTTTTCTTTGATAAGAATTGAATAAAACAAAATGCAAATTGCATAACAAAAGTTACAAGTTTTGTAAATTTTAATACAAGATAAGAGCAAATATTGGTTATATAAATACAGAAATATAAGATGAAAGAATAAATAAATAAATAAATAAATAAACAAACAAATAACAATAAATAACCGTTCAGGCAGTAACCTATCAGGGACCGTTGACCCAGGAACTGAATTTTCTAACATTTTCTCACTTAATACTCTGACAACAGATTTCCTGAGTAAAATTCAATAAATTCTGTGACTAGAGCAGATGTGAGAGCCTTTGGACATGACCCAGGACAGATGTGCAACCGTGATGTGGCACATTCATCCCTGAGAGTCCTTTCAGGGGGATCCCACGTCTCCATCCTTATTTCTTAGTCTTTCTTGCAAGGCTGTTATTGAGGGGAAGGATCTCATGATTTCCCCTCTGACAACCTCCCAGGCGCAGTCACTGTATTTCTTCTCCTTCAGGTAGAGACGGATGCCCTGGAAGTACCTCTTCAAGGCCGGGGGAGGGCCCTGCATGGCCAGGGCAGATCCTTCCTCTCCCATCTCCTCCACCAAACACGCCTCCAGGGCTTCCAGCTGCCGATGGAGTCCTGAGCGCAGTAGGCCCACCAGGGTCGTGTTCCAGGTGACAGAGGAGTTCTCTGTGGGCAAGAGGTTGAAGACCTGCTGGAGCATCTCGTGGAGGACAGCGATGGCCTGGGCCTTCTGGACCTGGCTGCCATCCACCGTTGCCCGCGGGAATCTGAAGTCCTTTCTGTCCTTCACACAGAAGACAGGGGAGATCGTGCTCATTTGGTTCAGAAGCTCTAAGTTCTCCCTGCTGAGCAGGACGTGGTCCTGAGGCAGGTCACAGCCCAGAGCTCCCCCGGGGCCAGCGCTGAACACCACCAGGGCGGTGAGTAGAGAGAGCAGGAGGGCCATGGGCGAACGAGGGTGCTGCTGGCCTGGCTGAGCTGGGCGTCTGGTGAACAACCTTGGGCCAAAAGTTGTGCAATGACCTTCTTTCTAAGCATGGCCCTTAAATAGGGAACACAACGAATTTCATTTTCTAAGCATTTCTTTCCACTTTCCCTTCCTTTTTTGTTTTCTTTTAGGTGGTCTAAGGAGATGTCATCAATCTGCAATACCAATTTCCTTTTTAAATTCCCACAAACTTTAGATGTTTCAGTCCAGGTGGATACTTAGTCAAATGAAAAGGTCTTTGTCCTAAAGTCAGAGTTTAGGTAGGTGTGTAAATACTTACACACATGCACATACATATCTGTTTCTTGCATAAATATTGCTCTTCTCTGCTTTAGAAACAGAAATGCTCAGTGATTCTGGGCAACCTTGTGCCCTGCTTACTTTGCACAGGGAGCCAGGCTCCCTCATCCCTGTGGGCTTGTGTAATTTGTCAGGTACTTACCAGACTCAGGTGGTAAATAATCTCGTTAGAACCAAGGACTGAGTGTAATTTACTGTTGTGTTCACTGCAGAGGCTGAGGGTATTAGTGACTGTGTTTCGGGGATGTTTCTCTTCTAGATCCCATTCCTGCAGGGCCCTGTGGTTATGCTTCATGGGGGCCACTAGGTCAGGACTCTAGACATTGCCATTTCTTTCCAGCATTTGTAACTGGTTGTTAGTGCTCCTCAGGCTGTGCCAATACCCCCGGCAGGAATCCAGGTTCTTTGCTGGTGGCTGTAGGTGTGGAGATTCTCATAAGAAGATAGTAATATGTTCCCAGCACCACCCCATTCACGAGGCTGATATCAGCTCTAGTCACCCTTTGCCTCTGGAATGACACTGTCCTCAACCCAGCCTCTCTTAGACTCCCCCCATGGAGGACAGGCTCACCCCATCCTGAGGTCCTTAGAATTCTCCCCAGGTGGAGGGGCTTGTGTCTTTGTGGCAAACTAATCATCAGGATTCTCCAGTTCCCCCCACCCCGGGAAGGTTTGTGTGAAGGACCCTTGTTCTCTGTGGTGACCGGCTCCTCTCCTGAGCCAGGACCCAGGTGTCAGTGGTGTCCCAAGCCCTCAGCACTGACAGCAAACATTTATTTTGTCTAAGTCGATGGGGAATTAGGTATCCATTTGCAATCATTGATCTTCAGGAGGACAATAATTTTTATTTGGCAAGTGCAGCTTTTATTATTAATTCTCTGTTAAATTATTTCACACATTATGCTCAGGATTTCTCAGCTGGGCACGGGAGATTCAATGACGTCTCTCAATAGAAACTTGTAGAACAGAAGCTGGTGAACTGCAGCTGTTCATTCAGTCTGTGCGTTTCTCTTGGGCTTCTCTGTTCACCCCTCTCTGTCTCATGCTCAGGGTGCAGGGCAGTGAGGCTCAGGCTACGAAGTCAGGGAGGAACAGCCTTCTTTCCTTAATTATTCATGATGCTTCATTGTAAATGTAAATAACAACATCGTCATTACATGATGTTTTCCTGGGCACAGTCTGTGTTGCTCCTCTGCCATGATTTTCTACTTCATCCTGAGGTTCATATAAAGGGAAGTAAGAAAGTCAAAGGGACTTCACCATTTTTCTCTGTAATTATCACGACTTGAGACTTTTTATTTCTCATTTCATCTTTCCCAGAAAGCAAAATGGACAGTTGTTTGTGGGCAAAATTAAAACTAATAGAATTCTGCATGTCAACAAAGTGAAAGAAGGGGAGTGGCTTCTGCTGACAAGAGGACCAAGTGTCAGTTGGCAGAATTGACTGCAGCCACACAGGGCCCTGGTGCTGTGGCAGAGGGAGGGGGAAGCCAGCCCTGAGCTCCTCCAAAGCAGGGGTGGGCTGCCTCTGCCAGAGGCTCAAACAGGAGGACCTTCTGGGTCAGGGACCAGCCACGTCCTTTCCTGCTATTTCAGTGATGGCGAACCTTTTGAACTCGGCGTGTCAGCATTTTGAAAAACCCTAACTTAACTCTGGTGCCGTGTCACATATAGAAATTTTTTTCATATTTGCATCCATAGTAAAACAAAGACTTGTATTTTTTTTATTCATTTCGGGTGTCACCTCTGACACACGTGTCATAGGTTTGCCATCACTGTGCTATTTAATCCACATTCGATCAGCTCTGAGGACAGAAGGGAAGACTCACAGCCACCACCTCTCAAAAGCCTGAGACCTCGACCCCCACTGCTGGACCGGGAACCCTCCCTGGCTGCATCGTGGACATTAACCCTTGTCTGGGTGCTGGATCTAGTTAATAAATCCACTCAATTTCCGAGAAGATGGCCTTGAGAAATCTGGATTTGAGAGAAATGGAATTGGATGATCCTAAAAGAATGTGCTCTTAATTTAAATAATAATTATATTGATATTTTACAGTAAATGATAAAATTTTATTGCATGCTAACTGTGGTCTAACCATTGTTCAATAATAATTATATTGATATTTTACAGTAAATGATAAAATTTTATTGCATGCTAACTGTGGTCTAACCATTGTTCTAAGATCTTTGAAATGGCTCATTTAAACTTCTCAATGTCCCGCTTTGCATTAAACCTTTTCATATCACTATAATGCAGTATCAATGTGGAGCAATGAATTATTTGGAAGGTACCACGAATCCAAGGTCAAAACCTTAAGGAGCTGGAGATAACGGCTTGTGTGGAAAGGCCCGTTAACAGATGACCAGGATAGTAGTGGACATGGGACTTATGAACCACAGTGGCCGTGGCATGAGAGCACTGCGCAGGGAGGGTCGGGTGGTAACAGATTCCAAGTTCCACTTCAGATGCCAATGGATTGCCATATTGTTCTGTATGACATCACCAGTGTGGTCTGTGTCCATAGAACTGATTGACTTTAAGTTCTAAGGAAAAGTAGAGAACATTCCTTTTAAATCATTTTGAAGAGTAGAATTTTCTGACAATTGAAACAAGTTTTTTTGCTGGCAGTGGATTAACCCTGGTCCTTCCAATTCCCAGAAGCCTGCCCTCCTCTTGGAGGCTGCCTTTGTCACAGTTGGCCACCAGGGGGCTGTCTTCCCCATGAGGAGTATCATTTTCCCTTGGACACCATGGATCTTGCTTTCTGTTTCTGTTTAGCTACAGGTACACTTACATCATATTCAATGGACACCGATGAAAGCCTCTTGCAGATGTTTCTGCAAAACCTTGAAATGTTAGTCTACTGTCGCTTTCAACTTGTGACGTTCTGCTCTTTAGGGAAACCTTGCAGCTGCAACCACAGGGACCAGGAAGCAGTTGTGTGATTGGGTGGAGAGGTCACGAGAGCGGATGACAAGGGTGCTGTGGGGATTTCTACCTGGAGAGGAAGGACACTAGTGTGTTGTGGGCATGTGTTCTGGAATGCTGGGAGGGAGGGAAGGAAGGCGGGTGCCAGGGGCCAGAATCATTAAGCCTCATGTTCTTCTCTCTCTCCTTTATCCAGGCATTTATTCCCCTTTCTTAGTTATTACTACAGGCCACTGAGGCCAGTAAGCCAGGACCATTGGAACAGGGAAACTGAGAGAGACAGCTGAACAAACTGGCAGAGGAATTTACCACAGATTCAGAAGGTCACCTCCCTAGATAACATATAGGCCTGGGTTATAGTTCAGCTCCAGACCCAGAAAAGCAGCAAAACACCAGGACCAGCTACAATGACTAATGACCCCCTGCCCTGACACTGACCAGTCAGTGGATACCACAGCCCTGAAGGCGCAGCACCTAGAAAACTGATGAATATTCTGCTGAAACCCTCCCCTGAGTGCTCCCCTAAGATTCCTGTTTCCAAGAGAAAGATAAAAACCCTCAAGATAAAGGACCTCACACTTGCTCTTCCTCTGGGGAGCAGCTCCTGCTGTTCCCTTTCTCTGCGTCTTCCCCCACAGACATGCAACTCCTAAACTTTAAGGGACCCCACAAAGCTTGCAACCAGGACAGCAATGGGCAGCGGCACCTCATCCCAGGCAACCCTCAAGGCCACCTTTTCTCTGACTTCTTAGTGAGCCAAAGCAGCCCAGCCAGGCTCATTTCCCCAGCCCTTCCTTGTTTCACTCCTCCCAGCTTTAAAATTCACCGGGACTCCTGTTGTAAAATTTTTCCTGCAAAAGGTCAAGAAGCCTCACACTGTTGGCTGGCCCTAGGCAGACCTGCTCAGGGCCAGATCCCCTTTCTGATAACAGTTGATTTCTGGGAAAACTGACCTTTAGAAAGAAAGTGGCTTGCTCAACATCACACAAATGTTCAAGTAGAATGGAATTTCAACAAAAAATTCTTTTTTAAAAAATAATCTTTATTGTTGAGAGTATTACGGTTGACTCCCTTTCAATCCCCATTAACCCCACCCCAGGCCTTCACCATGCTATTATCTGTGTTCATAGATAATGCATATCTATATATATAAAAGGCTAGGTGACCACCTGACTGTCCTACCATCTGGTAGGTATGACACGCACTGACCACCAAGGGGCAGATGCTCAACACAGGATCTGCTGAGCTGTGGTGACTTGGCAGCGGCAGTTCTCAGGTGACACACCTGGAACCAGAGAGGAGGGAGCCCAATGCCTCACGCGGGGCCGAGACGATTCCACCTTCGGGTTATGTTGTTGCTGGGGCACTCTCAGCCCTAAATCTGGTTTACTGCACACTTGCAGTCGCGTTTCACACCCTGTATGACAGCAACTTTGCAGAGTGCCCCCTTGCACTCTGGGACCCCTCGGGGGATGTCTGACTGCTGGTTTTGGCCTGATCCCCACAGGCCAGGCTGAGGGACCCCACCTGCTGGAGGGATCCCGCTCACTGCAGAGGACCTTTAAGCTGCAGCACTGCCCCAGGTGTGGCCAGCAGCCTAGGGACTGCAGGAGGTTGGCTCCAGGGGGTGTCCAGCCCGTCTTGCCCAGTCCCGCCCCGCCCTGCCAGCCACCTTCTAACACTTCCTAATTTCCTTTCCATGTGCCCAGATCCATGCACTGGGCCACTAGTATGTATATAAGATCTTTGGTTAATCTCTTCCCAGCTCTGGAACCCTGGGCTGGGGGTCTGGTGTAGTGCTGGGACCCCTTGCTTCTCAAAGGAGGCCTCCGCAGCCAAGATATCCCTCCCGATTGAAAACATGCCACATGTGGGTGTTTGACCTGCCTGTT